GCAGTCAGTGTTTCTCTTTCAGCTGCAGGAACATGTTATCAACTATGTGATCTACACAGGAGTGCAGTGTGGCTGAACGTGGAGACACCTAGTGTGTTTTTCAGGGTGATGATGTGTCTGGGGATAACGAGCTGATTCTGCAGAGCTGGGCTTGGAGCCCGCTTGCCTGACTTTGGGGATCAGGGTGGGATGTAGATGTGAAGTTTCACCATCACTGCCGGTCAGATCCAGGTTCCCAATGCCCCTGGGTGTCATGTAGAGTTGGCTTTTAGGAATTTCTGTAAGCCATGGTGGCACCACAGTGAACAAATTAAAAAAAGAATTTTTTTTCTTCTATACACATAATTAGCAGCATTTTGCTCTAACTATATCATATTTGTATCACTGTGTAACAGCCCAGTGGGTGCTCTTAATATCAGCTTCTGAAGTACAAAAATAATTATTCTACAGTGTGTGACTGGGGAATAAGTAAACATGCTTTTTCTCCTTTTTTTGAATGAATATAAAAAAAATTTGGAACGAAGGGCGACACTTGTGTCCTCAATTCGAAAGATAAGCTTTGGAACTAAGGCTACCAAATATTTTGTGTTTTCCTTCAAAGACGAAATGACACAGTTATTGAGATAAACAGAAGCTTGAGAGAGGAACCTAGAAGTTAATAAGGAAGCTGTCAGAAATTGAAAATGGATTTTATTTGGAAATAAATTTGATTTCGATCTTTAGAATGAATTAAGGGAGAGCTGATTAGAACAATAAAGATATATTAGTGATATTTAATTTACATTCTATCTCTTAATCACGGAAATTTAAACAAAAGGATTAAATTAAACAGGTTGGTGTTTTCTGCTTGATTGCAGATCAAAGTGAAAGTAAAGAAACAAGTCAAAGTCCTGCACATGCATTAGAAATAAATTGTGTCAGATCTGATTAGCACAAGTGTCAAACTGAAAATTAAGCCAATGCTAGAATAAAGGGTACCCAGTACCTTTCTTTATATGTCAGTTAAACAGTATAGTAAAAACACCACACTGGAGAATTACTAACAAGAAAATTTAATGATACATATCACTTAGAAAAATGTGCATTTTGAAAAACAGCTTCAAAGTATAAAGATTGAAAAATGTTTTCATCCTGTTAACAATACTGTTTAGTTAGAGAAAGGTGGTAAAAAGTTTTACATGTTCATGAAACATGATTTCTCTAAATAAGAATTTACATTAATGCAAAACATTAACATTTATTTCTTCATTTATTTTTCTAATGGCATGTGATATGATTTAAGGCAAATCTACTTATTGTTAAGATTTCTTTAGGAGCCATGGCATTTAAAACATTAAAAGAACAAGGTAGTCTTTAGGGTGCAAATCCTGGAATATGTCCCACAATCGAACTGGAAAAAACTTAAACTGTGTCAGTGCTCTCTGAGAGGTTTGGTTTCTATTTCTTATATCTCATCGAAACAGACACTGTAGAAAAACTGTATTCGAAATTGTAGAAAGCAATATCCAAAAACTACATACACCGTGTATAAAAATGATTCCAACTTTGGTGTCTTTGTAGCAGCGACAAAACTGACATCCTTGATGGTAAGATTTAATCGCTTATTTTTAATCCTGGAATACAGATTGCATTTGCTATGCACGACTGCATTCTTGTCATCATGGAGAGTGTGTATATGATAAATATTTTAAGTAGAATATCATATACAACTATAGCTAAAACCATGGTGATTATTAATGCCCCAAATATTTCTCAAACATTAAGGTAAAGACAGGCACTTGCTCAGCCTGGTGGGCTGTGATTGGGTTGGACGGGAGTTTTGTGAGATAAGATTTGCAAAAGCCCCCATCCTCACGATTATGTGCCGAAACTTAAAATCATAGAGTGAAGACGCAAAGAAGGCGCGGTCCAGGGACACGCAGACCCGGAGTTTTCATCCGACAGCTCTTCCTGCAACCACGGAGAATAGTGAAGAACAGGATGAGCAGTAGAGTCGTGGCGTCCAAACACACGGAGGGCCTGGAGGGTTTGAGCTGATACCACTTGGCCCGCGCCCTAGCTGGCAATTCCCTCCCCAGAAAGGCCTCTCCTGGGGCTGAGGTTCTCCCTCCCAGAAGACGAAGGCAAAGTTCACACCTCTTCCGAGCACCTTTACTTCTTACCACGCAGCCTGCATTCCGCTTCAGAGGACGCTCTCGTTAAGGTAATTCGTTGTTTTCCACCTGTCTTGCATCTTCCTATCTTCCTTGGCTGTTTACAAAGAGCGTTTCAGACGAAGTTTCTGTATCTTTAACACAAATTATAACAAAAAAATCAACATCTAATGACATATATTGGAATATAGACATGTAGTTAAAATTTATATATGAAGCAGATTAGAAATCATTTCTGTGTAACCTAAAATCTTCAATTCTCAACCTCAACCAGAATCCACGTTATAGACATAGATCAATAAAAATCTGAATATTAGAAGAAATACCTTAGCTCTTTGAACCTTTTTCTTAGTAAGTAATAAATGAAAGCTGAAAAAATTCTAGTTTCATGCTTGTCTGCCTTCCACAGCTCAGGGCTTTTTATAACTCTAGCATTTTGTAGACAGTGGTCAAACTTAGTTTTTATTGGTGAAGAAATGTTAAGAACCTTATCTAACGTGTGTCGGTGCACTGCAAAATGATGAAATGCAGTTACAACTTCACAGCCTGTTGCTCAGTTGTGCAAGGACTGTGGCAATGGAAAAATAAAATTGATTTCGTCTAGAAAATTTTACAAAAATAGGATGATTAAAAGCAACCCCTGAGGATCTTTTCTAAAAATCACATTGCTAAGTCTGTATTTTGTATTGTTTGTTCCTGTTTTTCATTCGTTATACCCGCTACTGCTCTGATAATGCAGGGGGAGAAAATAAAAACAAGGTTACTTTAAACTGTCATGAAAAGTATATAAATAAGATAGAAAATGTGAGCTAAAACTTTCAATTTTCTTTTTGATGGGAATTGTATATTTTGGCAACTTTCATGATGATGCATGCTTGTAATTCCAGCACTCAGGAGGCTGAGGCAGAAGGATTGCTGCAAGTTTGATGCCAGCCTGGGCTACATAGTGTGTTCAGTGTTGGCTTGAACTACATAACCAGACCCTATCTCAAAAAAACAAAAAGACAAAGGTGTCTTTTATAACACAGTGCTAATTAAATAGTGTTGTAACTGTCCTTACTTTCATTTGTAAAAGTCGAGTGACTGATAAGAACATCAGAAACATCTGTTGGTCCAAAATGAAGATCGTACAGGTTTAGATGAGACTTATTTGATGAATTCTGAAGAAGAGCAAGAAAGAGGTGGAGGAAGAGGAGGAGGAGGAGGATGGGGAGAGAGAGAGGAAGACACAAAGAGACAGAGAAGGAGAGAGAAATCCCCACAGCTTCTATTCAGTAATAGAGAGAGAAATAATTTCCTTTAAGGACATTACCTCCTTTAAGTAAAGTTAATGTCATGCTTTAATTCATAGTTCAGTCCAACTTGAAAATATAAAGCATGTAAAAATATTTCCTTTTACTTTGCCCGTTCTGTATATAAATATTATATGTGATTTAATTTTCATCAAGCTATAGAAATCACTTAAAGTACCTTTGCAAAGGGTAGATTATTTTCCCCCTAAAGGCATGTATTTTAAACAAAATAATTTTATTTTACATTAATTATTGAAAGGAGAAATTGAGGTAGCACTTATCAAATAAGTTAAAATAATTCAGCTTTACATGAAAAATTTTAAATGACACAAATATGCCTGTAATTTTATTGTAAGAAAAATGTGTAGGAAAGCATACCTCAAAAGCGTTTTGCTGGGCACAGTGGTCCATGTCTATAGTCCTAGCTACTTGGGAGAAAGAGGCAGAGTTTGTTTAAACCTAGCAATTCAAGGCCAAGATGATACGGTTCTAAACAAACAAACCTGCAAATTATATACATATTGAAGTGTTTAGGATGCTTACAATTTAGATTTCAGCTGGGATTAGATTTTAGTAACAACCCTGATATGGTTTTCAACATTTCTGAACAAATCCTCAGAGTGACTAAGTGAATATATATTTAGCCAGAGCTTAAAAAGAAGACGTTTGGCAACTGAGAAGCAAAACAAAAAATGAAGCAAAATCATCAAAGTTAGCTCCCTTTTCTTAAAGATAAAAGTAATTGCCTTGGTAGAATCTATGTGATATGCACCATCTCAGAAAATGTATGATTCTGTGGAAAACAAAAGTGAGACTGAAGCAGACGGAGATTATAAATGGTAACGGTGCCGCTGGAGTCTGGGGAGGCTGGGGAGAGGCCTGACTCCGACCTGCAGGCTGGGCGCCGACGTGGATCTCCCAGCAGCAGTCACAGAGATGCTCAGTGGGGAGGGAGGGAAAAAACTTCAAGAAGGACGAACGTGCGGGAGGGACAGACACACAGCTTCAAGAGCTGTCTTCAAGGGATCTTTGTGGTTACCAAAAAAAAAAAAAAAAAAAAAAAAAA